GTATTAATAAAGAAGCACATAGTACATCACAATTTTAATTTTTAATATTTCTTAAGTATTTTAAAATAACTGAGTTTCTTTGTAATCCTGTATATTTTATTTTATACATTTTAAAACGTTATGAAGGGGTCCATAAGGCTTTACACACTGCCGAGGGGTCTGCTATACAAAATAGGTTAACAGCTCACGCCTAGGGCATGATTCATTCCTGCACCCGTGCCCCCAGTCTGTTCTCTGCCACTTAACCCAATCCCTGCCCCAAGTTTTCTTCTCTCTCCTTATGTTTTTTCCTGCTTAAAGGCTAGTTCCCTTCTCTCAGGGCCTGATCCTTTCTTCTCTGAGATAATTCACCCCACTAATGGATCACAGCCTGCAGTTTGTAGAACACTGAGCCACACTGAATACAAAAATAATTGGGAATGGTAAAGTTCTATGTATATAACATGTCATTTTCCTTTACAATTTTTCCTAGGACTGACCCTGTACCCCTCCATATGTATAAATTACCACTTTATGTTTGTGAAGATGACTGATCATTTCAGGTGATTTTAACCCATCTTCTCTCCTAGGAGACTCCATAGTGATTATTTATTGTGATCAGGTTTATAAGAAAATAGCCCTAGTTTCTCAACAGAGAGGGCAGAAGATAAATGTGTCCTCACCCCCCCATCTTCACCCTCTCCCCCTCATTCCCCTCTTCCCTCTCATTTCCTCCCCCTCTTGTGTCCCTCCCCATCCCTTTGTCTTCCTCTTCACCCTCCCCCTATTCTGTAGTGATTCATTATTATTATGGTTAATTGCTTACCTTTTAATGTTAGCTTCTTGGCCAGTTTAATACTGAAAAATGTTTTCACTTCTTGTGGTCAAAAGAACCTCATTCTTGATCAGTATGTTAAGTGGTTTTCTCATAAGTAAAACAAATTTATCATAATCCTAATTGAGCAATATTCCTTACATTTTAGTTGACAAAGAGATGCTGCAAAAAATAAGAGAGAAATCTATTTTACAAGCACAAGAGAGAGCAAAAGAAGCCATAGAAGCAAAAGCTACAGCAAAGCGGGAAGATCAAAAATATGCACTAGATGCCATGATGAAGGTAAGTTGTAGGTTAATAGGCAAGTCCTCTAAAGAGATAATAGTAAAGTATTAGTTACAACCACTGTACTTCCTCAGCATTTCGTTCGTACTTAATTATAGGACTTACTATGTTATATAGACTGTGTGTTACTTGTGCTTTTGAAAATCTGTGTGAAAGTTCAGGGTATAAAAGTTAGACAGTTGTTTCAGGGAGAGGGTTCTATTTCTAAGGAAGTAAAAATCATAAAGTTTCTATGGTATAAGCGTTTTACTTTTTTAATCTTGCAGTAATGGACATGATTAAAACAAGAAAAGCATAGGTTAAACACTAAATATTAACAAATTAATTTCTCTTTAACTGTTGGGGCTTTCAAGTGAAAGCTTTAAATCAGCAATATATTTTTTGAGATATAATTCACATACCATACAATTTATCCATTTAAAGTGTACAATTCCATGGTTTTTAGTATATTCCGAGTTGTGTAACCATCACCAGAGTCAATTTTAGAACATTTTCATCACCCAAAAAAGAAACCCAATACCCATTATCCCACTTCTCATTTCCCCCTCACCCCTAGCTCTAGGCAACTACTAATTTACTTTCTGTCTCAATAGATTTAACTGTTCTGATTTATTTTTACAAGTAATTTCTTATCTCAAATTCTCATTTTGACATCTTGAAATGATTAAAGAGTCTATAATAATTCATTATCTTACTCTATGGACTCATGACTCTTTTGCATTTGCATTATCAGTATTTTTATAATGAATAGTTGATGGATTTCAAAGATTTCTCCACTTCTTTTATCGCTTCTGCTTGACTCTTAAATATAGCTTATGTCATTAACTTAGTAATTGAACACCTGGTCAGCTAGCCCAAGATTCCTGCCTTTAGTATACTTGATGATTTCCATCTTTTCTTGATTATATTAGCATAGCTACTAGCCTTTTGATTTTATTATTTTCCTGAGTTTATAAAAACCAAAATAATATAGGATTTATGACAACACATAAGTATTTACCGAATAAATAATAAAATATAATAAAATAAATAATAAAATAGTTAATAGCACATATACTGCTCTATTGGTAAACATGACAAAGCAGAACAGTTGACTGACAGGAAGCACCACCACGCTGTATCTTGGAGTTATGAATCTACTGATGTATAAAAGCTTAACTTTGGTATTTGGAAAGGTGTTTTAAGGGAATTAATGTATAAAATATAAAGATGTGGATTATATTAAGGGGAAAGAACCCATGAAAGCCTGTAGCCTGTTGTACAAACTGGTTGTTTTGTCTCTACCTGAGTAGTGTTGAGAGTTGGGGCTGTTTTCTTTCATCCTTTTTATAGTTGTTGTCAAGTAAATATGTGCTAAAATATTTGAATGAATTAATATGAATACATAGCTCTAGTACCATGTTCCCATAGCAGAAGTCTACTTTGCAGTCAGTTAGCAGAAGGCTAACTGAAGTTATTTTTACTCTAGCCAATCTTAGACACCTTTCAGAAAAGAGCCATAATGATCCAGTAGGAGCAGATGAAGAGATATGACAGCAAAAGCCAACCTATTATTAGCTTAAACCATAAATTAGCTTAAAACTTGAATGATATCTGCCAAAAATTAGTAATTTTTAAGTAGTAATCTTTTAAAAATAGTCAGTAGGGCTAGTGCTAAAACTTACTGGGTCAGTTAGCTATGCTGTGTGTACAGTTATTTGTCTGCTTGGGCTCCTATAACAGAATGCTACAGTCTATATGGCTTAAACAACAGAAATTGATTTTCTCACAGTTCTGGAGACTAGGAATCCTAGATCAAGGACTGGTAAGGGTCACTGTCTGGTGAGGGCTCTCTTCCTGTTTTGCAGGCCTTCTTACTGTGTTCTCACATGACAGAAAGAGCATGCAAGGGAGCTCTCTTGTGTTTCTTCTTATAAGAACACTAAACCTATCAGATCGGAGCCCCATCCTACTGACTTCATTTAACCTAATTACTTCCTCAGAGGCCCAGCTCCAAATATAGCCATACTAAGGGTTAGAGCTTCCACATATGAATTTTGGAGGGACACAAACATTCAGTCCATAGCACTGTGTAACAAACTATCTGAAAGGTAGTGGCTTAAAACAGCAAACATATATTTCTCAAGATTCTGTGTGTTGGTTAGACAGTTCTTGTGGTCTGGGGCTGGCTCAGTTGTGACTGCATGTTCTAGGTTGGCCTGATGCACGTGTCTAGAGCCTTGACTGGGAGAGGTGGAGCTTCTCCCCATACGGCATCTCATCCTTCGGGGGCCCAGCCCAGGCTTCTTTACTTGGTAGTGAAGGTTCCCAGTAGCAAGAGAGCACTTTTAAAGCCTCTGCTATGTCATATTTGCTAATGTTTCTTTTTTTTTTTCTTTTTTTTGCAAGCCTTCACCAATGTTTCATTATCCAAAGCAAGTCACATAGCCAAGTCCACATTCAAGGATTGAAGAAATAGACTACACTTCTTTTTGGAAAGAGGGATTAAGTCACGTTGCAAAGGGGTACGCATATAGAGATGAAAAGAATTTGTGGCCATTTTATAATTTATTTTATCTGTTTGAATTAAAAAGATTAGGGTTTAATAAAGGGAATATGACTCATCTAGCAGGAAAAGTTCAAAAATAGAACAGTGATCAGACGTTGTGAAATCAAAATTCTGACTCTTATCTCTCTGCAGCATCCCTAGCACTGCCCTTTCTTTGTGTCTGCTTCATCCTTGGGCTGATAGTGAGATGATCCATGTCTGCATTTAACAGGGCCCAGAGGAAGGCAAGCCATCAATTCTTTTGGCTTCCTTTTAAGCCCCATAAAACAATTGCTTCAGATATTATAGACCGTATTAACAATGGTAATCAGTTTTATGTATGCTCATATGAATCTTTGCTTCAAGTCATTATTGCTTCATTCTTGGATTACTGTATCAATTTCTCTGTGTCCTTGCTGCAGATCTATCATTCGTTCATTAACATACATTTATTAAACGCTGTGGAAGGTGCCGAAACAAAACTGAGCAAGCCAGTCTTCACTTACAATTCACTCATAGTCTAGAGAGGGTAACAGACAAGGAAAATCAAAGGTTGCACCAAGGCCAGGTGTAGTGACTCATGCCTATAATCCCAGTAACTCAGGAGGCTGGGGTAGGAGGATCACTTGAGGCCAGGAGTTCAAGACCAGCTTGGGCAACATAATGAGACCTTATCTTTAAAAAAATGAAAAAAATTAGCCAGATGTAGTGGCATGTGCCTATAGTCCCAACTACTCCAGAGACTGAGGCAGGAGAATCGCTTGAGCCCAGGAGTTCAAGGTTGCAGTGAGCTGTGATCATGCCATTGCACCAAGTATGCATGAAGGGTCATTGGAAGATAAAGAGAAGACACTTGCAAAAGATTGGTATCTCAGAATGAGAATATGGCCAGGGAATCTGAAGCAGTGTTGTTTGTGCTGCATCCTGGAGAATAAATCACAGTTAACTTGGGAATAAATGGGAAAATGACATTACAGATAGTTTGGATAAGTGTATGACGGAATAGGGCATGAGGGAACATTTATTTGTCATAAATCTTAAGATTTTGGGCCAGGCATGGTGGCTCACTCCTATAATCCTAGCACTCTGGGAGGCCAAGCCAGGAGGATCACTTGAGCTCAGGAAGTCGAGACCAGCCTGAGCAAGAGCAAGACCCTGTCTCTACTAAAAATAGAAAAATTAGCCGGGCATGGTGGCACTATGGGCCTGTAGTCCCAGCTACTCAGTAGGCTGAGGGAGGAGGATCTCTTGAGTTTGAGGTTGCTTTGAGCTAGGCTGACGCCGCAGCACTCTAACCCAGGCAACAGAGTGAGACTCTGTCTCAAAAAAAAGAGTAATAAAATAATGAAAAAAAAAAAAGATCTTAAGATTTTGAAAAATGTCCTGAAGGTAGTAGGGAACTCTTTCAAAGGATTTCCATCAAGAATATAAAATTAACTGGGTTTGTGTTTAATATTTTAGAAAGCTCATTCTGGCTTATGAGTTTGGAGAGGGTATAGGGTAGAGGCAGAGTTTTCGTGTTTTTAAAATGGAAGAATTTTGAGCATATTTATATGTGGAAGAAGGAAGTCAAGAAAGAAGGAGAGGTTGATAATACAATCTAGAGAGGGTAATGGGGAATATTTTATTTTTTGACACTAGAGGGCAGGAACAAAGAATAAATAGCTAAGGATTTGGAAAATTCTTAGCACTCAGATAGTTAAAGGAATTTTTTTGTTTTCTTAGTAAGGAGACAAGGTCATTGACAGAGAGGGAAAGAGATTGAGGTGGAGATGAAGGGTTTGAAGTGGTGAGTAAATTTGGAATACAGATGCCAGACCAATCTTGTGAAACGTGCCATTTTTCCTCTTTGGGATTCTTGACTGCTATTACCTACTTTTCCTATCTTCTTCACTATTTTGTTTTGTAGGTTACCCTCTTCTATTTTGAACTTTTCTCTATCATTTTTTTTGTTTTGTTTTCCACTTCAGGGGAACCATTTTCTCCTACTGATATTTTAACCTGGATGGGTCAGATTCGAAGTGCATTTTTCTGCTGTAATTTCTTAAAGTTGAAACCCAGAAACCTTAATCTATGAAAGCATTTTGTCTGATCATGCAGATGAGGTATGAGTTGATTTCTGAAGTTGTATAGGTCATACTATAGAGCCTTGAAAAGATCCTTAACAGTATCAGTGAACACACGCATGCCCTATTTATTGGAGGCATATATAACTAATGCACAAAAAGACCGCAAGAAACTGCTTGGCCATCATATATTCCATTTTTTAATAATAACTTTTATGTTCCTGGCATTTTTAAAAATTTCCTTACCCTTGGCCGGGCGCAGTGGCTTACGCCTGTAATCCTAGCTCTCTGGGAGACCGAGGCGGGCGGATTGTTTGAGCTCAGGAGTTCGAAACCAGCCTGAGCAAGAGCGAGACCCCGTCTCTACTAAAATTAGAAA